TTTTACATCCTAAACAATAAATTATACTTAAATTATAAGTTCATATTGGTGATTTGTAGAGTTAACCTAAATTAAGACTATAAATTACAACAATGTGATTGTAAAATGATCTAAAATTTCAGCTACATATTATGTATCCTGTAATTGTTAAATACAGGGACTTTAATTTAGATGTTTCAAAACAAATACACACAATTAATAAACTAGATGACTAAACTAATTATGATTTTCAAAAATTAAATCAGAAGCAGGAGGGAAAACAAAAGTAGCTATTGTTTTCTTAGGTTCAACTTTACCACTTTTAGTTCTAATATTATACTTTAAAACCAATTTATGCATACATATTTTGATTATATGGGTGGCAAGAAATCTACCTGGACATGCACCTTTGCCACCCCCAAAAGTTATATAACCTTTTTCAAGTTTTGTAAGTGAGGTATGAACGATTTTACCACTAGAATATGAAGTTATATGTCGATTTGGGTTGAATTCGTTTGAAGTTTTCCCATAGAATTGACTACTTAAAGCTATATCTTTTACACAGATATTAACAAAACGGCCTGTATAATTGTTGAATAATAAAATTATTGTAGAATGTAAAAATAATAAATATAAAAATAATTAAAATGAAATTGAAACAAATTTAACAAATTTAACATTTAATAAATTTAATAAATTTAACAAATTTAATAAATTTAACAAATTTAACAAATTTAATAAATTTAACAAATTTAACAACTTTAATAAATTTAAACAAGTTATATAAACAAATTTCAAAATGAACATACCTTTTGGTATAGTAGCACCACTTTTGAATTTAAACGAATCCTTAATCATAAGGTGTGGTATAGCAGCTAATTTATAAAAGAAATAAACAATATTTAATCAATATAATAAAACTATTAAATTTATTAAATATTCACAGTTATTAAACAATCAAGTGAGATTACCGAAATCAGAAGAATGTCTAAATGATTCTTTTATAAAGCACTCTAGTTTAACCATTCTATTAATGTCATCAGGCTTTAAATTACCATTCGTTTCATTATGAATCATTAATTGTTCTTCATAGATTTCTTTCATAAATTCAGGCCTTCCACCATAATCTAATTTATAAATTTAGATTAGCTCTCAAAGTTAAAAAACAATAATATAGAATGAAATTTTTACCATAAAGAGTCATTGAAAAAAGCCTAGTGACTGAATTAACTGCAACAAAGGCTAATAAATAAATTATTCCAAATAAATTATCCAAATATTTATCATCTACGACATTTGTAATGTCTGTTTTAAATTCTGGCATGCTTAAGATGAAGTCAAATAAATCATCCTATTAATAAATAATTAATTATTAGAAAGATTCCTATTAAAATAAACTAACATTTAAAAAATATATAGAATACCTTCATAATATATTTATCACCATTTAATTTTCTTTGACGAATGCGTTCTTCTATGATTAACTTAAATCTTTGAGCAAAAAGATCTCTATGTTTACTAATTGGTTTCCAACCGAATTTTAGTGGTAATCTATTAAAAAAAATTTAATTTTTACTTTTAAAAAGATTTATTCATGAAATCAATAACTAATTAAATAAAATCAATGGTCGATTACAGTACGTAACAGCTTTCATATGAAGTGAAGGATGAATGAATGATAAAATTGGAGGAATAACTTTAAGTTTGTATAAATCCTTTTCAAATCGGGAAAATGATTCTACAATATCATCAAATTGAGCACCTTCCTTTACGATTAAATTATGATTAAATTACGATTAAATTATGATTAAATTATTGTTGCAAATTAAAATCATAAGGTTGTATTATAAAAACTTACTTCGCCAAGAAAAACATTAACTATAGGCTTAGCAATTACTAATGATAACTCGGCATGAATATTTTTGAAATTTTTTGGTTCTAGAAATTATTTAATAATTTTATTTGATACTATAATAATCAGATATTGAATATTGCAAGTAAGGAAAGTTGAGAAATACCTTTACAATAACCAAAATATTTTTCAATTCCGAGTAAAATGTCTTTTTGAATTCTTGATGTATATAAATGAATTCTACTATTAATTCGTTCATTGATCATATGGGTAAGATATTCTGTTGAGAAGTCAAATTTTAAGTATTGTCTGAAAATTTCATCTGCTGGAAATAACTATTACGATATGATAAATAAAAAGATATGTGTAAAATAATTGTTTATGATAAATTTCTATAATATATTTATATATGTACTGTACGTACCTGATTTGCGGCCGCAAAAAGATTAAAGGTTTCTGGTGCATTCTGTAGGACCTCATGGGAAGTTTCAACTCCTACAAAAGTTCTTACACTCCCAAAGATGTATAAGCTAAATGGATCACCATACTTTATAAAAAATTTTTTTTTGATATTAGAAAACAACATTAAATAGCATATAATAGTGATTACATTTACCTTTTCTCTACATTCATTTAATAAATTTTCAGCGTCATATAAATAACGGTACGTATGTCCAATAATTGGATACCGATATTGTACTAATGGTGGTTCGTTCTATTAGATTAAAATAAAATTTCGTCAAAAAAACCCCCCACTTTTGCATTTATAATTATTGAATAAAATGAAATATACCACGCCTATTCGAGGTCGTTTAATTAAATGAATTATAAATACAACAAAAAACAAAAGACAAAAAGCTTCAACGTAATCCATTTTTTTTTCAACAAACAAAAAAAAAAAGTGATATTATATATAACGCAATATATGTATGCCTTTATATGTATTCAGCATGTATTAATCGTTATAATAAAAACGGCGGAGTTAGTTTTACTCATCATTATTTATTTTAAATATTTTTAACCGCATAAAAATTATTCCACTATTCAACCCATCTAGTATCGCCACCAAAATTGGATCCGTATTATTTAACCGACAATCACTTCATAGAACCACACTAAGATTGCATCCAAAAATGGGATTTTTAATTCCCCTAAGTCGTGATTGTGCGCATGGAATCCCATATCTAGTTTAGCAACAAAAATATCGTTTTTCTCAAAAAAAAAAAAAAAAAAAAAACGATAATTCAATTTAAAATGGAAGAACAAGTCGAAATAATCGAACAATTAATAAAAATATGACAAGAAATTTTCTATAAAGTTTTCGTTAGGTACTTTATTTTCAATAGAATGAAAAATTTATTAAGAGACCCACTTTCCTATCTTTTTTCTCGGCTTACAGGAACCATCACGCTATTTATAATATATATATATTATTATTATAAAATATTTAACCACTTTTCAATTTAAAAAATACTTAGATGGATTACAATATTACTTAGACGATCCTGAAATAACTCCTGATCTCGATCCAAATAATGTAAATTATAATTATATTGTTGATGCAATCGGTAGTTTTGTTTTTTGTTGCTATGGGAACTACTGCTGATAGTGCTACCTGTGTTTTATATGGTTAGTTATGGTCTGTTTTTAGTGCTTTTAGTTCTATTTTACATATATATAATGTAAATTATTTGAATACAAGAGAAAAGGAGGCACCACCGGCGCCTCTATTAATTGTAATGTTTTTAATATGATTTGTTTATTATTATGTTTGTTATTATTTGTTAATATGTAGTTTTTAGTTATATTGAATTAATCAGTATACTATAAGTGTAATAATTTATAAATGCTAAGGTTAATTGTTGTTTAATTATTGTGTAAAGGATACATTAGAATTTAAGTTTTAAAAATTTTATTAGTGTTAGTATTATGTAATTAAGTTGCAATTCATTGGGACCGGACTTTTAGCAACTTGCATTTAGAGAACAATTAAACAATTAAGAGAAATTGCATTTATAGAGACAAAACATATACCAAACATATACTTGGGCCCAAGAGCACTATTTCCTTAGCAATAGATAGTTTATTTGTGCATTGCAATTCATAAAATTTTCATTAGGTATTTTCGTAAAGTTTTGTCGTTAGTAGAGATGTGCATAATGCTGCATAATGCGATGCAAGTTGTCTAAAATTTAAAAATGCACATAGAAGTTATTGTGTAATTTTGATCCACGTTATTTTATCAACAATCATTTTATAGACACTTGTTCTATCAAATTCATAGCCTATGAAATCAATAAAAATTAATCTATCAGATCTGTTTCCACTATATTTTGTGTTTTCAACCTCTCAGTAATATACAAAGTCTGTTTACTGCATATAGGTTTTAAGAGGTTCACGGTATATTATCCAGAATTGCATAATGCATCATGAGACATGATGTTGCGTTATGCAATGCAAAGCCAAAAAAAACTTGCATACGCACATATCTAGTCATTAACACATTGTAAGACCATATTATAACATCCATTGTTATCTACTGTATATTCAATTTAATAAACTTATATTCGATTTTATGAATATTTTATCATTATTTGAAAGATTGATATAACTTCAAAAATTATAAATTGCTTGTATGCCTCGTGACTCCATAGAACGTAATAACGTTTAGATGATAAGAAACCTTTTGTAATAGTTTATTCTAATTATATGAATTATAAAATTGATTGTTTTGTAGTTACTAGTAAAGTTTAATATATAACAAATAATGCCTTATTAATAAAATCTTTAATGTTTCTTTCATCGATATTTATATCAACTTTAAGACATTTAAGAGCAACAGTTAATCCACTGTTTCTACTCTCATATTTAAGAACCTTTCCAAAACTTCCAATGCCGATCAAAATAATATGCCCATCAGAAATAGCTTTTTCAAGCCATTCATCTGATATGTTGGCATAACTTTTTATATGTACTAATCTTGGTCGAAAACAACATTCTATTCATTAACGAAATACTGACACTGAAATGGGGGGTTTTTTTCCCACATATTTTTACATACATATTATATTCCACGGCATTTTAATTCTACCAAATCTAAAGCCTAATATATAATTTTTTTTTTTTTGTATTACAGAGTCGGTCAATCGCATCAGTTGAGGGCTTCGAAATGACATTGGCTTTTAGTTACGAATTACCGCCATGTAAGGTTGATACCATCAAAAAAATTCAGAACCAAAGAAAAATACCAAAAAATCATGTACAAATAGAAGAAAGAAATTTTTCTGGTGCTTTGGGATTAAGTCTCTTCTTGTACGTATATGTTGTATTCCTCAGTGACTATGCAATGACTATAACAGAAATAATAGAAATACTGTAATGAAAAAACAAATACCGATATCTTAGTATCTTAGTAAAAATAACAAAAGCAAAAGGTAAAAGTTTTCTTTTGTTAGAGCTTAAAAGGTGGTTTAATAGACAAAATTATGAGATATAAGTATTTTTTAAATTTTTTGTTTTGTTATTTACACGTTACGCCTAATTCTAAATTCTAATTAACAAAATGACTAGAGGTCTACGGTGTAAATTAGAAATTTCCTATAAAAATATATATAATTTTTAAAACTACAAAGTTAAAAATAATTGAGATAATTACTCAATTACAAACCTTTTTATTTAATCTATGTATTTATTATATAATTACTTATATAAATTATTCAATAAAAATATAAGCAAGACTTTATTTCAAAAATAAAAAAAATCAAGCTATTATATAGTCCTTTATATAATTACTTATATAAATTATTTAATAAAAAAATAAACAAAACTTTATCTAAAAAAAATACTATATAATTATAAAAAACTATAAATTAAAAAATAATTTAAAAATAAATTTAAATTTAAATAAATTATTAAAAAATAAAAAAATTATTATGAATAATTAAAAATATAAAAAAATTATTATGAATAATTAAAAATATAAAACTAAACTATAATACGTATTTTGTTAATTATATTGTAATATATTTATATAATTAATAATTAAATTCAGTAGTATAAACCTAGTTAAATTTATTTAATATTTTTAAAGATTTAATAATCAAATTATAAAATTTAATAAAATTTAACTTAAAAAATTTTAAAATTTTAGCTATTATATTGATTATATAGCAGTTTAAAAAAAAGATAATGCTTCCGTACTAATAAAAATAAAAAATATATAAACCTTATTATTAAATTATTAAAATTTAAAATAAATTAAGATTATACTTACGAGCTATAATTTAGTAAAATAATAAATTAACCAGAAGTTATTAGATTATATATTAAAAAGTAAATTTATAAAAACAATTTTAAAATATAGTAATAAATTTTACTTACGTACTAATAATCAATAGATGATAAATTAATTAAAGCATAAATTAAAATATAATATAAAAAATTAAAAATAAATATAAGTTAAATTTATACTTACGGACTAATTTAATATGCCAAATATATATTATAAATTATAAAAGTTAATTAAAAAAGTATAAATTAAATTAATATAAGGTTTTAAAAATAAATACAATATAGTTTATACTCACGTACTATTATTGATTATAATATTAATTTAAAAAAATATAATTTTGAAAAAGTAAATAATAAATAAAAAGTAAAAACAATTAGGTTAATACTTACGGACTATTTATAATATGTCAAATATTTATGGTTAGAATATAAAAGTTAATTAAAAGTACAAATTAAATTTATATAAGGTTTTTAAAAATAAACACAATATAGTTTGTACTTACGCACTATTATTCAATTAAATTGAAAAAATATTATTAGTTATAATATTAATAATAAAAAAGTACAATATTATTTTAAAAAAATAAATAATAAATAAACAGTATAAATTAAATTTATATAAGGTTTTTAAAAATTAATACAATATAGTTTATACTTACGCACTATAATTCAAGTATATTAGAAAAAAATATTATTAGATTATAATAATTAAAAAAAAAGTAAAAACAATTAAGCTCATACTTACGTACTAAAAATATGTATGTTATAAAAATTAGTATTATTAAATAATTTTAAAGATCATTTATATAATATAAAATATATTAATTATTGAAAGCTAATTTTGAAGCTACTAATAATAGCTTTTAATGTAAAATAATAATAATAGATTTTATACTCACGTACTACAAATTTAAAAAATAATGATTAAAATTGTTATTTTTAAGAATTATAAGTTCATACTTACACACTTTAACAGAATAATATGTAAAAGATTCATTATAATTATTATATAATAAAGTATAAATTAATAAATTATTTATTTATAAATAAGTGCAATGGAATTTGCATGATACTTACGTACTAATAATTTAATAAATTATAATTATAGTGCTATTTTAAAAATTACAATTTTAAACTCAATATAATTATAGACTTTACACTTACGCACTAATAATTTGATAGATAAATAATGATTAAAACTTGTTATGTGAAAAAATTACTAATTTAAAATCAGTGCAACAATAGACTTTACACTTACGTCCTAATAATTTGATGCATAGATAATTAAAGATTGTAGTTTTAAAAAAATATTATATACTTATACTTACATACTTTAACAAAATAATATATAGCAGATTAATTATATATTAAAAAATATAATTTAATAAATTATTAATTTTAGAAATAAATATAAAAAAATTTACATAATACTTACGTACTAATAATTTAATAAAATATAATTATAGTGCTAATTTAAAAATTGCAAATTAAAATCAATAAAATTATAGACTTTACACTTACGTACTAATAATTTGATATATAAATAATAATTAAAAATTGTTATTTGAAAAAATTACTGATTTAGATTCAATATAATAATAGACTTTACACTTACGTCCTAATAATTTGATGCATAGATAATTAAAGATTGATATTTTGAAAAAATACTATATATTTATACTTACAAGCTTTAACAAAACAATATATAACGGATTAATTATAATTATTAAATAATTAAAGTATAATTTAATAAATTATTAATTTTAGAAGTAAATATACAAAATTACATAATACTTACGTACTAATAATTTAATAAAAATATGTTATAGTCTGAAAACTAATAATTAAAACTTTAGAATAATTATATACTTACTTTCTAATAATTATGATTGAAATTTTAAATTTAATATAAAATATATGAAATATTATAAAACCCAATTAGAAAAATATAGCTAAAAATCATTAGACAAAATATACGCAAGTTATACATACGCCACAATAATTCTTATAATGACAATATTAAGTTTTTATAAATAAATTCAATGAGTTTATATTTATATTTTTTATGAAATAATATAGAAATATATGGGAAGTCAATAGAAATAATACAAAATATATAATAAATTTGTTTCATTTATACTGACTTCCCTATTTATTACCAATTTATAAAATTAATTAGGATTAATTGATTTGTAACCATAGGTTACTATAACCGCAATTGAGATCAGGTGTAACATAATTATTAAACCAATTTTTTTCTAAAAGTAAAACTTTGCAATTGGGTTAGGGTTAGGGTGAGGCTAGGAATGGAAAAGAGCATAATTCATATCAAAATTTAGCAAGGAATTTCATTTCGGCGGATTGGCGGAATTGGGCCTTTTTTAGATCATCAAAATTTGAACCCTATTCATTTTATTAATCATTAATAAAATATGTCATTCTCTGATATACTAACTGATATCGGTATAATTTATTAATTATTATTACCCTTAAAATGATCAATTTAAGGTTTGATTAAAAAGGCCAATTCGAAATGTTTTTTTGTTAGAATATAAAAGATAGTAATATAATCAAAATTTTGAATTATTAACGATTTCTTTAAAAAACTGGTTTTGTTTATATTTCACGTTACACCTGACCTTAAAATTTGATCGGCTTTATTGGATGCGGTTACAGTAACCGCGGCTACAAATTTATTACTCCAATTAATTATAAAGATTAATCGAAAGTTTATACCTACCCAAGTTCACTATAATTTGACAAAATAAATTTAATAATAAAAATAATAATTTAACTAAATATAGTGAGGTTCATACTTGCCTACTTTAATATAAAATATATTATAATAAAATTGATAAAATATATATAATTATTATTATTTAATTATAAGAGCAGAAAGCAATTTAAGATTATAAAATATATAACTTTGAATAAATATAATTACAAAGCTAATTTAAAAATAAAATTATTTTGAAAATAATTATTATAAAATTTATACTTACAGCTTGTCAATAGTTCTCATACTTCAACAGAAAAATTTACGTATTATTAATTATTATTAAATTATAAAAGCAGAAAGCAATTAAAATTATAGAATATATAACTTTGAATAAATATAATTGTAAAAACTAATTTAAAAATAAAAATTATTTTGTTAAATAAATACTATAAGTTTGTACTTACAACTTTTTATCACTTTACCAGAAAAATATACGTATTATTAATTATAAAGTTAATTTAAAAATTATATTTTAGAAACATAGACTAACAATTAAACACTCTTTAAAAATATGTGATAACAAATATAATTTATAAAAATTATAATTATAATATTTGTATCATAATATTTCTGAGTTATTTTAAATATATAATTTAAAGAAAGCTAATTAACTTATTTAAAGACTTATATTTATTAAATAAAAATAGAATAATAAGTTCTAATCTGAATAAATCTGTCATCCGTTTATCTGGATCTGAATTTATTTAGATATCTGTTAACTATTAATATCTGGATAATTAATAGATATTCAAATAATTAAATAGTAAACAGATAGTATATTGATGACTGAATAAATTAAGATTCGGGTATCCAATAATTATTTGGATAAATGCTAACTGGATTGAACTCTAATAATAATAATATACAATTTATTTTACAAACTATATTTAAATCATCTTTAATTAAATTAATTATTAGCTTTCTTTAAATTGTATTTTTAAAAATAAATTATAAGTTTTATACAAATACAGTAAAATATAATATTTTAATATATATTTACTTACCATTTATTATTACTAAAAATCAACAAATATATATATATTATTAAGTATTATAACTATGTAATTAACAAATAATTCTAATTGTACTTTTTAGTCATAAATATAAATATACTTACTATTGTTCTCTAATAATTAGCAAAAAATATATACGTATTATTAAGTATTATAATTATGCAATTAGCAAATTATTCTAATTGAGTTTATGTTTACATTCTATTAATTAAAAAGATTATTATTTAAGAATATATATCAGTAAATTATAAAATTTAATTATAAAATTTACCAATTAATAATTTTAAAATAAATATAATAAAGTTTATACTTACTTTCTAATAATTTAATAAAATAATAAATAAAAATACTATTAATATGTAATTGTAATTTTAAAATAAATTTAATAAAGTTTATATTTACGCACTAATAATAATTAATAAAAATATATTATAAATTATTATATTATTTAAGCAAATTAAAAAAAGCACAACAAATTTTTTTTAAAATAAATGTAAAGCATGTTATGCTTACTCGCTAATAATAATTTAATGAACCAATATATAAAAATAAAATATAATTAGTTTATAAGCTAATAATTATAAAAACAAGTACTATACTTACAGGCTAAAAATTTAACAGAAAAAATTTAAAAATATATTCTTAAATTTAAAAGCTAATTTAAACACAACACAACGTTTATACTTACTCTCTAATAATAATTCAATAGAAAAATTAGCAAAGATATTATTATAACTATAATCTTAAAATAAAATAAATATAATAAAGCAGATATTTACTCTCTATTAATACGTAAAAGTTTATATTATAAATTATTAGATTATAAACAAATTTAAAAATCATAGTAAAAATTGCTTAAAACCCAATTGAAAAAAGATTTATACGTGCTAATAATTTAATAGATAAATATATAAAATTAAGACAAAACGACTATGTAAAATATATTATAAAAAGACTAATAGCATATTTACATTCTAATAATTCAATAGCAAAGATACAAACATATATTATAAATTTTAAAATTTTTAAATATTATTAAATAGTAATTTAGAAATAAATTACAAAGTTTTACTTACCTCCTAATAATAAATAATTTAATAAAAAAATAAAAAATTATATAATTGGGTAATAAAAGCCAATTATATTAGCTTAATATATAAATAATTCAATAGTAATTTTATAATAATTTCAAAATTATATTTACGCTCTAATAATTGATAGAAAAATTAATAAAACGGTATAATTTATTAAAATAACAATTTAGAAATAAATTTATACATACGCTCTAGTAATTTAATTAAAATATAAATAAAATTTAAGTCTTATTAAATGATTTAAATACAGACATGCCATCTCCTATATAATTACACTCTCTTATAACTGTATAAGCACCACATTTAAAAAATTATTGCCAATATATTTATTAAAAAAACTCTATACAATCACATAGTTTTTATTAAAACAAACTGTGTGATTATAGAGGAGGACGGCTGTAACTATTTTAAAAATATAACAAATAAAAAGATATTTATATTTACTCTCTAAATTATTTAAAAAGAGTAAAAAAAGTAGTACATATATTAGTTATAAAAGCTAATTATTAAATATAATCTAAAATTATAATTTGATAATTTTAGATAAGAAAATTTATTAATTTACACGTAGTGTTTATACACGGGTATAATTTATTGAGTTACAAAGTTGTGTAACACATCAATTAATCAATTTTTATAAACAAAAAATCAAACCTTACTTATGGTCAGGCAAGAGGGTTAGCATATACCAAAATTTCTCAAGGAATTTTTTTTTAGAAGCCAAAAGTTGGGTTCATAATCAAAATTTTGAGATATCAATTTGTTTTTACATTACCCATTTACCCGTGTACATGCACCCTGTGTACAAATAAAATTCTATTTAAATAAATATAAATATTATTATTTACCTACTATTAGATGTGACAATATATTAATAAATTTTAAAAGCAAATTAGAAAAAATTAAATATTATTTAAAATAAAATAATATAAAAAATTTTACTTACAGTCTTTATTAGATAATATATTATTATATTATAAAAGCCAATTATTTAAAAAATAAACAAATTTTAGAAGTTGCTTATAAATAATTTTAATTAGAATAATATCATCTTATTATAATATTTTTAAAAAGCAAATTTAATATTCAAAGCTATATTAAAATTATGCGGAAAAATAAGTCTAAAACTTTATAAAGAAGTGCAAAGCTAGCTTTTAAAATAAAAAATTATATATTTTAATTTTGTTATATAAAATTTAAATATAATTGATTATTTATTTAACTAGATGATATTACCCAAAAAAGATTAAATTAAAAGTTTATATTTACCCCCTAATAATTAAAGAATTAATTAGATTCTAAAAGAGCACATTCAAATAATTTTAGAAATAAATACAATAAAGTTTTTACTTACGCTCTTAAAATTTATATGATTGTTATTAAAGAAACATAGTTTAAAATTTACATGAATTATATTAAAGAAGTATATTAAATAATTTTTGTTAATAGTAAATTTTAGAAATAAATATATCAAAATAAATACTTACGCACTAATTAAAATTAAAAAAAAAACAATTAATTAAATATGTAATAGATATTCCACGGGCTGTTGTGAATATCATGGATTAGCACAGCGAAGCCGTGATAATACATGGTGTTCACGGCGCACGTGGAATATCTGATATATTTCACGGTTCCTATGCCCGTAGGATTTCTGATTAAAATTTTTACTGATGACGTAATGTCCGTGAATAATTTTTGATATTTTCACGGCATTACGTCAGCATAAAAATATCATCAGAAATGCTCACGGGA